TGGAGCTTGAAAAGTTTCCAGGTCTTATAGTTCTTAATTATGTTCTCATACATATACATCAGTTTACCTATACACTTCTACCTAGATTGTTAGTGCAAAGATAATTTAAAACATATATATTTGGAACAGTTTCCTCTGTATGCATTGCCTCCTGAAAATATCCTATGAAAGAGTTCACCTCCGCTGCAATCACCTGCTCATTTGCCAGCCCCCCCAAGCACAATAGAATTAACCTCTTCTGTTATCCGAATGCACTTCCAGTCCTGGCAATGGTCTTCTTCCTTCTGACTCCCCAGGGTTACAGACTGGGTTTTCTGGAATGTGTTTGTTTTGCTGGGCATCATCTGAAATTCAGGAAGGAACAGGGACTGTCTAATCCAGGAATTAGTGTTTAAATGACAATAGAAAGACAAAAAAATAGTGCTGACATTTTGCCTACTGTTTCTCCTTTGAGATAGCTTATTTAGTCAAGTGCTTGCCAGGCAAGCATGAGTATTGAACCCAGTCCCAGTGGCCATGTAGAAAGCTGACTATAAGGGCTTGCACTTATAATCCCAGATCTGGGAAGCTAGAGAAAAGTGGAGGACCAGGAGGTGGTAAGCATGCCTTTAGGGAGGCAGAGGCAGAAGGATCTCTGTGAGTTTGAGGCCAGCCTGGTCTACAGAGTGAGTTACAGGACAGGACAGCCAGAGTTGTTACACAGAGAAACCCTGTCTGGGAAAACAAAACGAAAACAAAGAAACAAAAAGGTGGAGCCTTGGAATTCTCTAGCCAGGTAGTCTCACTTGATCAGCAAGTTTCAAGCCAGTTAAAACTCTGTCTCAAAACACAAGCTGTATGCTAAGGCTAACCTCTGGCTTCTGCACTCAGGAGCAGTCACATACAAGCACATCTTTATACCTGTGTTCAAAGAATGAACACACACACACACACACACACACACACACACACATACACACGACAGAGTGGTTTTGACTGGTCTGAAATTCTGGTTTATTGAATTCCAACAATGTTTGAAATCTAGAGAGGCAGTTTTACCAGCATGACTTTGCTATCTTTGAAAGCACACGATTGCCCACTTGACCCTCTGGTGACTTGTGGTCCCATCTAACCAGTCTGGAAGGCCTTTCCCCTCTCCTCTCAGATTCCCATCTCCTGCTCCCCAGGAGCTCATGGGAGCTCTGTCTACCTGCTTATATTAGGACAATGAAAACATCTTCATGGAGGTTTTCTCCTCCAGTGGACCCATGTTGAGAATTGAGTGGTCTGTCCTCCAATTTTGACTACTAGCCTGGATCCCATGTGTTTTTTTTTTCCTTTTGCTAGAGAAGAGGTTGCTTCTTTGAAAACCTTGGTGTAGTCTTAGGAGGATCCTATCAGCACTCTGTGGCTAGGTGTCCTTGACTGTGAGGTAGAGATGATAATGTAAACACGGTAAGGAAGATTACATGCATTAACATACAACTGTTTGGCATTAGTGAACTCCACCTTGCCTAGATTGAGAGAGTAACTGTAGCCCTTGATACGTCTCCTTTAAAGGAACAACCTTGGGCAGACGAGTCAGGATCAACTTGAACAAGCTGTGTGGGCGGTACTGATGCCATAGTCACTTGACTCTGCTCTTAGACACTGCATCTTCAGCTATGAAGATGGTGAGCTTGGGGCCTGGGCATTTTTGGGGTAGCACCTCTATGGTGTCACCTGTTTATACTCATGATGACTGTTGCAGATGAGATACCTAAGCCCATACCAAGTGAGGGAGTACCTCTCTATACTTCCAGTCTTACCTGACTAATTTTTATATTTTGTTCTTCACTAAGCAACTGGAAGATTTTGTATAGATTACATTAGTGCAGTGACAAGTGGGCCTTGATGCTCCTAAGGGGTGTCTGAACTTCTAATCCCTCATTGCAGCAAACCTGTGTTTTTTGGGAGTACTAGTCCAAATAACCATATTTTACATGAAATTATCCCCTAGTTAGAGCAGACACTGCCTTCTTCTCAAATGGGGCCATCTATGTCATTTGGATGTATATCCTTAAGCATTTGCACTAATTCCTTCAGTAGCCTCCTAGCTCCTATTAGCTTCCCTCTAGGATCTCATAAGTCTGATGCCTTCTCCCACCTTGGCCATGGTTATGCCAAGCTCCCTCATCCTGTGTGTCATTCTTATATTAGCTACTTCTCTGGTCTGTCCTTATTTCATGGCCTCTACCAGAAAACGCCTTTCATCTTTATAGCCAAAGTGGGTCCTTGAACACCGGAGTCTGGAAACATCACATCCTGTAACCTGTATTTGTCCCTTAGAAGCATCAGTGGTTTTTCTCTGTGCTCTTAGGTTCAAGTCCAAGCCTACAGTCATTTTCCCAATCCCCAGTCATTGCCCGGCTAGCTTTGTATTCTATCTTGAGTAAAAGAAAACATCTCAATAAAGTTCTTTCTTGATCCCCAAATCTAGGTTGGTATTTCTTCATTTCATTGCCTTGCAAACACTTCCCACTTTTCCCTTCTTACTTTATAATTCTCTATCAGCAATACAATTACTCAGTGTTTATCTCCACAGAAACAAGGAATCTTCTGTTTTTTGGTTTTTTTTCCACCCTGCGTCTTCTTTTCCTTGACAGGTATACCCACTTGCCAGATGCTCAGAATACGTCTGGTAAATAATTGAAGGAATGGAGGCCTGATGGGGGATGTGTGGAGCTGATTTTGAATTGAGACTTTGAACTCATCCAGGAAACGCCTAGAGATTCATCAAGCCCTGAGAATCAGCAGTAAACAGTTGGTCTCTAGTTAGTAAGTCAGAATTGAAAATTTCATGGAACTAGGTATGGCTCAACTTGGATGTGGGGAATCTGATGTGTGATTATGGTAAGTGATTTCCCTTAGATAGGTATCTTCCAACTTCTCTAGGACATAGATTTCACTGACTACCTATGAAACAGACTCCAGTAAACAGATGGCTATAGAATCCTGTGTTAGCATGAACCATAGAGACAAGAGATTTTCAATGAACAAGAAAGTGATGGTGTATGATTAGGTAAATGGAATTAGGGGACCGGGAGGTATGAAGGACATGGAATTTCTACATGGAGGTCATGTACTCTCCACCTAGTTCTAAGATTTAACAATATTATGATGGGGAATGTTCTTCTGTGTATGTTTGTCTTAGTGGTTGATGAATAAAACACTGGTTGGCCAGATAGGATGATAGGTAGGACTAAGAGACAAGGAAGATTCTGGGAAGTATAGGCAGAGAAGAGTCATCATGTGATCCCCAGGACAGCTGGGGAGAAACTAGCTAATCATAGAGGTCTGGATGTCTGTACAGATAGGCAAGAAGTAGCTGGGCAGAATCAGAATATAAGCAGAGACAAACAGGAAATTGCTCTCTTCTCTGTGAGATGTAGCAGGCAAAGGAGTTGCAGATCCGGCATTCCCGGTAAGCCAAGACCACGTGGAAGGAAATACATGGATTAGTAGTTATGGGTTAATAATTAAATCAGAACTAGCCAATAGGAAGCTGTAATCACTAGCCAACACTTTCATGATTAATATAGCGTCCATGTGTTTCTTTGGGGCAGAGAAGGGCGGCGGGACCCTGCCAGGCCAAGAAAACTCACATTACAATATTACACAAGGATAGATATGGCCGGGGTGGGTGATGGGAAGGTAATGAGCACATTGAGGGAATGCTCGAGGATTAAAATGTGGAAAGTGAAGAAAGCCTATTGAAGGACAGAAACACACAGAAGCTACCGAGAATGAGGAACGGGGGAGATTCTGATGGAAGTTGACAGTTGACATGGGCTGGGGTGCTAGCCTCTCACTTTTAAAGTGGGGCTGTCCAAAGTTCAGATTGAAGAGATTGTCCAAGACAGCTGGAACTGGAATCTGCAGCTGCCTATGGCTCTCCACACAATTCCATCTAGGTTCCTGAGGAAAGCTGAGCCAGTCAGGCCCTTCTGTTGAAATCACTGAGCCAGTCAGGACCTTCTGTTGAAATCTCCGAGGCAATCGGGTCGTTCTTTTGAAACCGCTGAGGTAGTCAGGCCGTTCTGTTGAAATCTGGAGAGAGAATTCTGAGGATCCAAGCCTGAACCAAAGTCAGGTCCCAGGCAAGGCAAAGTTAAAATACAGGAACAGAAACCAGAAGAGCCAGAGCAGATCTACAGAGGAAGACAGTGCAAGCCAGGGGGAGCCAGGGCCCCACGACTATTTGCATCAGACATTAGACCCTTGCTTTCCATTCCCTCGGGTTCTGCTTCCAAGGGCTCTGGCTGGGGTTTTAAAACAAACTCTCCTTTATTTTGGGTAACACAAGTGGGCCTGTGTTCTTTAGAGTCAAAGAACATACTGAGGGAACCCGTGTTGAAACAGGCAGTGGCACAATTAGTTTCAACTTGAATATAGGATGAACCTGGAGGGGTCAAGGAGTTGCTGAAGTTAGAGCCAAGGACACATCCTTAGAAGAAATGAATAGATCTGTCACATTTGTGTGTAGCTAAGCCAAAAGCTAGGTCTTGTATTTGTGCATGTTGTTGACATTAACTATTGGCTGTGCTTAAGTGAGGGGAGTGTTTCTATTTGGACAGCTTACCTAGAATGAATTGACTCAACGGCCTGTGGTAGAGGGGCCATTTATTACCCTGGCCTCAAGGCTGACGTTCAAAGTGAACCTTTGTAGATTTGGGGGAGTATAGTGACTGAAATAACTGGAAAGAACTGGTTCTCTCCCTCCCTCCCTCCCTCCCTCCCTCCCTCCCTCCCTCCCTCCCTCCCTCCCTCCCTCCCTCCCTCTCTCTCTCTCTCTCTCTCTCTCTCTCTCTCTGTCTCTCTCTCTGTCTCTCTCTCTCTCTAAGTGGTAACCTAGACTCCTTTTTAGAGATTACTTCTATTATAAGAGCTATTTCTATTGCAAGAGCCCAGACTCTTGTAAAATTGCATGAGCTTCTATTTCCTCTTGTACAGAGTCTCAGCCTCCGCTAAATATGGTAGACATTCAAGGGTGCAGTTTTGGCAATCACCTCTCTGGCCTCGGGTTGCCAGCCAGTCAGCCAGTGTTTACTGAGCATCTCCTGGGTGCTCATTTCTGTAGCAGGTGTTCTGTAAACTTGGCACACGTGTGTGAAGAAAGCAGTTAATTGACTGCTTGGTGCACTGCTCTGATGGAAGAGTTCTGACGCTTTGGTGGGCATTGCCAGGGCAACCGGACCAAGAGTCTCGTCATTAATTAATGCTGCAGCAATTGCACCCAACCCCTGCTAAACAGAAAAGGAAATAGGTTGGAATGATTTTCTTCTCAGGGGTGGGCTGAAGAGACATATGGTTGAAGAGGCTTTATCCTATTTTAAAGTTGCTGGGAAAAGATGGGCAGGAGGCCAAGGCAGGGAGAGTTAGGATGAAAACAGTCTATCTCAGAACCAAGCAGAGGACTAGCAGCACAATAGCTGAGTATTTCCTTTGGAGAGAAGGAACGCACAGCATCAGGGGGTCTATCATGGGTGAGTCTCTTTTACCCAGTTGAGGTTCAGGTTCATGGAAAGGTGGGTTGTGTATTAGGGCTGCTGAGAAGATCCACCTAGAAGAGTTTTTATAGACACAGCTGGGACTTCATGAAGAAAAGCACAAATGCATATTCTGCATTAAGTTTTTATTTGTGCTGCTGTGTCTACTGCCCTTGGGTACTGTGAGATACTCTGCTATGCATGTAATGAATTGCTTTTCTTTGCTCAAGTCAGTTTTAGGACTTTCTTTCCATGCCATTAACGAGTTTCATGTCTCAATCCACCCTGCAAGTCTTAAGCAGTTATGAGCTGTTTAGAATCCCAGTCAGTGAGTGTGGTGGCTCTTTACCACCACCCAATGGCAATGGCCTTAAAGTGCCAGACCCTAGACAAGGGATAAATCAGGCTGGAAACCAAGAGATAGTAACTCTGCAGCTGTTTCTTATGCCAGTTTCCCAAAATTTTGAAACCAAAAGAAATTATTTTCTTGAAGGCACCAGAAGAGCATTTATTTATGCAAGCTCATTCCATTTCAGGTGCAAGAGAAATTTGGAGAGACAAGTTGTTCATCCTTGGTCCTGCCCTGGCTTCACTTCATACTGACTACTCTGATGGTTCCAGATTGCAATAATACATGAAATCCTGGAGAATTACTTATTCCAGCCTTTCTGCCCTCACTCTGGCTAAGCGCAACCAATAAAATAAGACCTTGTTAGAACTGAAGTGATCCTTGATGTGAACTTAAGCATCAAGAATGGATATAAGTGTCACTGTGGTTTGAGGTTATAGCTGCTGCTATATTTGTGTTAGAGGGAAATATTTATTGATCACCTTGGTGTCAGTCACTTGGCATGTACTATTATCTCCTCCTGTATTATTAAATTAATAAACTCATTCAAAAGATGAGGGAATTGAACTGAAGAGAGATTAAATACTTTGCTGGACCAAAATAATTCTTGTTTTAAAGACACTGAAAATTAGCTTAGTTGATAAAGTAGGAGCAGAACATTAGAAGGGATTTTTACAACCAGACTAAGTTTCCAGAGGTGATTCTCGAATTGAATTGCAAAACTGCTATAATTGGCAGAATGCAAACCAGAGCTCTAGCTGCAAGAGAGGCTGTGAGCGGTAGCCTTCTTGACTCTACTGGATGAGGTAGTTTCAGCCTCTCATCAAGGGGACAGTTGTCTGAGGAACAGAAAATGGCTCAAATATAGTCAGCCAAACAAGAGTCACAAGTTCACCAGAGTTGCTGACATTGGTGTCTCTGGTGATGGACAAAGTCAGTAATGTGTTCCCTGTAAGTGCCTTTTTATTTGTCTTTTATGAGACTACCCAAGTGCAAGGAGATACTTGCTTTAGAACACTCACCGAACAAAGAGAGCGTCAAGTATTTCCAGTATGTCCACCACACTGCTAAGTGGTAGAGAAGTAAAGGGAATACCCCTTTCTTTCCAGGCGACAGCTTGGCCATCCTCACAGAGTCTGAGTCATCGCGGTGGGTAACTACGTGTGATGGTTCATGTAGGTTGTTGACTCGATAGGGTCTAGGTCACCTAGAAGATAAACCTCGGAGTCTGTCTGTGTGTGAGGGGGTTTCCAGAACAGGTTAACTGAATTGCTAAGAAGATCCACCCTGAGTGTGGCCTGCAGTGCTTCATGGGCTAAGGTCCCAGACTGGAAAAAAAGGAGACTGTGAACTGAGGCTAGCATTCATCTCTCTTTGCCTCCTGGCTGCAGGGGCACTGTGACCTTCTGGCTCACACTCCTGCTACCCTGCATGGTGAGCTGGATCCTGAAACCGTGCACCAACATAAGCTACTCTTCTCCTGACTTGTTCCTGACTGGCAGTCTTGATGCATCAACAAGAAAAGTATTGTCATGGTCCACGGTGAATTCTATCAGGTGCTCCACACACATGCTGAGTCCCAGTTGCAACCCTGTCAGGTCAGCTTCCCAAGGCCACTTCTTCCCAAGAGGACTGGGAATAGACTCAGAAGGACATGCCCAAGTCACAGTCAATAAGAGGCAAATCCCAGGCTAGACCTCGAGGTCCACCCAACCAACTCCAAACGGAGGAAAGAATAACTCGGCAGCTTGATGGACTCTCACAGCTAGTAGCAAGACTGACTGGGATAGGAACACAGCTCTCTCACTGTGACACCTGGAACCACACACGGGGGGGGGGGGCTTGTTCCGGGACCCCATAGCTTTGTGCTCCCTTTGCTGGCTTGTGCAGTACTTGCTGGCCCTTCTTGCCTTTACTGTTCTGAATGCTTTTTGTTTGCCCTGAGTTTGAAAGCTCAGTCTTTGTGCTCAGACAATGACCATCTTAGCTGCTCCTGGGAGGGAGATGTTGCTACAAGGCTTACAATACCCAGAGGTACCCACCAGAAGCAGGCCAAGGAGAACCAGGTCTTGGCCAGTTGGCCTTACAGGTCTGATTTCTCATGATGAAGCTGCTTCCTGGGATGTGTGACACTGTTCACCCCCCTTTATTTTTTGGAGAGAAAGCCCTGGCTTGTAGCTTCCGTCTGTGGGACTACTGGGCTATCTCAAGCTGATCAATGGCTCTTTGTGCTACTGAGGTTTTTTTTTTCCTCTTGCAGTATTGATTAGCTTCTTAATGATAGCAAAGAACTATTAAAGATGGAACCTGATCGGGGAACACAATCTCTGTGGCTGGGAGTATGACAGAGACATTGAGCAGGGTGCCTTCTATCTAGTCCTGTCTGCTGGGAAAGCTATAGCATTCTGAAAGATGGTTATTAGGAAGAGAAAGAAGGGGAAGGGGTGAAGGGGAAGAGGAGGAAGAGGAGGGATAAGGAGGGACTAGGAAGAGAGGGAGGATTAGAGAGAGAGGAGGAGGGGGAGAAAGGGAGGAGAGGAAGAGAGATGGGGAGGGAGAGAGAAAGAGAGAATATAACTAGAGCTTTATTTTCTTTCCTGTCTTCTACCACTTATTCAGTTCCCCCACAAGCTTAGCAGTTTTTGAACTGCCCCTTAATAGGTACTTCATTTACACATGTACTGGCTAGTTTTATGTCAACTTGACAGAAGCTAGAGTCATCAGAGATGAGGGAGTCTCAACTGAGAAAAAGCCTGTATAAGACGGGATATAGACAAGTCTGTAGGACATTTTCTTAATTAGTGATACATCGGGAGGACCCAGCCCATGGTGGGTGGTGCCGTGCCTGGGCTGCTGGTCTTGGGTTCTATAAGAAAGCGGCTGAACAAGCCATGAGGAGCAAGGCAGTAAGCAGCACCCCTCCATGGCCTCTGCACCAGCTCCTGTCTCCAGGATCCTGCCCTGCTTGAGTTTCTGTCCTGACTTCCACTGATGAGGAACAGAAATGTAGAACAATAAACCACACAAACTTTTCCTCCCCGAGTATCTTTGGTCATGGTATTTCATTATAGCAATAGTGACCCTAACTAAGACACTACACAAGGAGTTAAATACTGTTGTTGTATTAGCATCCAAGGGGCATTTCCATTCAGCTCCCGTAAATGGAATTCCATGCCACCACAAACCCTCCCCACACCACTGCAAGCTTCAGAGTCCTTTGCTGCACCCTAGAGATTGCTTTGTCTTTGCGAGACCGAAAAGAAAAACCCATCAGCCGTCAACATTTTAATTATTTATTTTTAATTACACAAGCAATGCTCGAATATGCTCCAGTAGTAAAAAATTCACACAATCCATATAAAATGAAAATCTCCCCAGGTGAAGGAAGAATCTTAAATAGCTATGGTCTTAACCTGGCATTCCCCAGCTCTGCCGTGGGCCGGTTGTGGGGAAAGATAGAGAGCCTGCCAGGGGTCATGGGCGAAGGTCACACTCATAAGCAGAGAAGGATGGGGAAGTGGACTGGGTCTCAAGAACTTAGCGATCAGGGACGAGCTCTTAGAGTAAGAAGAGGAGAGTGAGCCCTGCCCTTTGTGGAGGCCTACCCTCTCTCTGACCCAGTGGTTCTCAGCCTGTAGGTCTCGACCCCTAAGCCCATTAGAGAACACAGATATATATTTACATTAGGATTCACAGCAGTAGCAAAATTACAGTTATGGAGTAGCAACAAAAATAATCCTATGGTTGTATGGTTTGGGGGTCAGCCCAATGTGAGGAACTGTATTAAGAGGTCTCAGCATTAGGAAAGTTGAGAATCACTGCTTTATCTCATGCTGCCTTTAGGCTGGGAGCTTTGGAGGCAAAGACTCAGCATGCTGGCCATGTTTAGCCACAGCAAGAGGGGAGGATTTTGATCAAATTCATCTTTCTCTCAACAATATCTTAATAGCAGGTTTTCCCCTTATGACTAAATAAACCCCTTTATAAATATGTTCTGGACCAGTCACAAAAAGAGAAACATGGTATGTACTCACTCATTTATGGATTTTAGACATGAATCAGGGGAGTACCAGCATACAATCCCACTGCGAGAGAGTCTGGGAAACAGAACCTTCATCCCGAGACTGATGAAAGCAGAGGCAGATACCCACAGACTAACACTGAATTGAACTCCTGGAATCCAGTGTTAGAAAGGGAGAACTGATGGGCAAAGGAGTTAAGACTGGGCTGGTTTAACCCATAGAAACAGTTGACCTGAACAAGGGGGAGCTCTTGGACCCCAGATTGATGGCTGGGTGGACAGCATGGGACTGACCCAGACCCCCTGAATGTGGGCGTCAGTGAGGAGGCCTAGGTAATCTATGGGGCCTTGTGTATATTTATCCCTGGTGTACAAATAGACTTTGAGTGTCCATGCCACAACATGGGAGGCTCTCTCATCTGGGACTCTTGGGGGAGGGCCTAGGCCCTGCCCTGGATGAAATGACAGTCACTGGAGATCCACCATGGAGGGCCTCACCCTCTCTGGGGATCGGACTGGAGATTGGGTGGGGGGCTGGGGGACCTGGTGGGGAGGGCGGGGGAGGAGGAGAGGGAGAGGGAGCTGGGATTGACATGTGAAACAAGGTTGTTTCTAACCTAAATAAAAAAAATGATAATAATAAAAAAGAGCTAGCAAGAAATGAGCCTAAGCTAAGGTCAGGCATTCATAACTAAAATATAAACAAACAAACAAATAAATATATTCTGGAGCCAACTGGAGATGGATAGAGAGCTTTGAAAAAACAGTCCAGTACGCCATTGCATGAAGACAGAGAGGAAGCTGTCTTAGAGGCAGCCCGCTGATTCTGTCCTTCACCTTGCAGGTGACATCATCAAGCTCCAGAGAGGTTGGGTCTGCCCAAGTCAGACAGGCAGGGCAGGAGCAGAGGGAAGTCGCCCCACTGGTGCACTGGGATTCCGGATGCCACTGTGCGTTACCTGGAGGATCCTGCTCCCTATCCCCCTTACCTGCCTGAGGGAACTATTGCCAGAGTGCTTGATGAAATAGTGAATGTTAAACATTACTCAATGGTCAGGCAATTTCTGAGTGCAAAAGAGTGAACTTTTGGTTATCAGAGAAACAAATATTCTCACTTATCTGTGGTCATGTTTCTCAAAATATGATTATCACCTAACTGGATCGGAATTCCTAGGGACTTGGCTGAGGGAGATGAGCTTTTGTTTCATTTTGTTTTGTAATTGCCCTTCTTCTTAAATTCTGTGGGAATTTGATTATGGGCTCAGAGTTACATGATGCGGGCATTATTTCTAACTTAGTTTGGTATACTGTGGAGGGTGGTGTGGGTTATTTTGGAGGATGTCATTAA